CTACAACCGATCCTGAAAGATGATCCCTCACTCTCACAGATCTTGGGAGACAGACCTGTCCTCGCTTACTCCTCCCCTCGTCGGGGAGGAGTACCATAATCGATTTTAAGAGCCCTTTAAGTTGACAAAAATGGCTTCGTTGTGTGGACGGGTGCAGGGTTAAATCGATCTAATACTGCTAAATTCGACCTAAACTCGTAGTGTAGACCAGGGCTATGATTCTTAATTGGGGGTACAGTGCAGTGCAGGCACACCCTCCACTAGTTGTAATACTGGAGAAATTCTATAAGACTGAAGGAGTGCCTGTATTGTGTCAATATTCTAAAAGGGCAAACAAATTAGGTCTTGTCAGAAAAACCTAATATCATTTAATTGGAGGTTAAAATGTTGGTTGATAAACATAAGTACATAGATGTAATATACTTAGGCCCTATACAATATCAATAAAGCACACATGAATTAAGAACTGGCTAACTGATAGATCGCAAAAAGTAGTTGTCAATGAGGAATCATCATTGAATGGGAGTGTTTTTAGCAGGTTCTGCAGGGATTAGCACTAGGCCTGATGCTATTCAGTATTTTTGACAATGATCTGGAAGTAATTGTAAAATCACTACTGATTTCAGTAGAATGTGAGCTAATATTTTGCCTGCTGTACAGAGGAGAGTAGTGCCTCTGTAGTTTCCGCAGTCGGCTTTGCTGCCTTTGTTTTTGAACAGTGATACAATAATAGCATCTTTGAAGTCTTGTGGCATTTCTTCTTCTTCCCAAATGCTACTCAAGATGTCATGAAATTTCTTGATAGCCTTTGGGCCTGCTCCTTTATACAGTTCTGCTGGAATACCATCCTTTCCAGATGCTTTGCCAGAGTTCAGTTGTTTGATGGCTTTTATAAAGTCCTCAACCGATGGAGGGAGATCGAGATCCTCTCTGATAGGTTTCTCAGGTAAATGGTCAAGGACACACCGACCGACTGTGGATGGTCTATTGAATAGAGTACTGAAGTATTCAGCCCATCTCTGTATGATTCCCTCCTTGTCTTTGATGAGGGTTGTGCCATCTGTCGACTTTAAGGGGGCTGTGCCAGATTTAGATGGTCTGTAGACTGCTTTGAGAGAGTCAAAGAACATCTTTGCGTTGTTTGTATCTGTGTAATGCTGGACTTCTGCAGCTTTCCTCTCTCATCACTCATCCTGCATTCTCCTTAGTTCAGACTGGGCCTTGCTCTGTAGGTACTTAAACCTGTCTTTCTTTGAGATGGAAGTGAGTTCATTCTGCCATTCAACAAATGCTTTCTGCTTGTGTCAAGGCTGTATCCCCACTTTGAACTTTAGGGTACAAATGTAGGGGCCTGCATGAAAACTTCTAAGCTTATCTACCAGCTTAGCTTTGGTCCGCTGCCACCATCACAAGAATTCCCTCCCTGGGAAGCCTTGAGAAACCTTTCACCAATTCCCTGGTGAACACAGATCCAAACCCCCTTGGATCTTAAAACAAGGAGAAATTAACCATCCCCCCTCCTTCCTCCCACCCTCCTTTCACCAACTCCTGGTGAATACAGATCCAAACCCCCTTGGATCTTAAAACAAGGAGAAATCAATCTGGTTCTTAAAAAAGAAGGCTTTTAATTAAAGAAAAAGGTAAAAATCATCTCTGTAAGATCAGTATGGAGAATAACTTTACAGGGTAATCAAACTTAAAGAGCTCAGAGGACCCCCCCTCTGTCTTAGGTTCAAAGTACAGCAAAACAAAGATAAACACTCTGGTAAAAGGTACATTTACAAGTTGAGAAAACAAAGTAAATCTAAGACGCCTTGCCTGTCTTTTTACTTACAAGTTTGAAATAGGAGAGACTTGTTTAGAAAGATGGGGAGAACCTGGATTGATGTCTGGTCCCTCTCAGTCCCAAGAGCGAACCACCCCTTAAAACAAAGAGCACACACAAAAGCCTTTCCCCCCCCAAGATTTGAAAGTATCTTGCCCCCTTATTGGTCCTTCGGGTCAGGTGTCAGCCAGGTTACCCGAGCCTCTTAACCCTTTACAGGTAAAAGGATTTGGAGTCTCTGTACACAGAGAGCTGTTACCCTTCCCTTTATAGTTATGACAGCTTGTCACAGGAGTTTGGAGATGTCCTTGTTGTTCTCATCGAACCAATCCTGGTGTTCCCTTTTCTTTGGCCCCAGCACAGATTTAGCTCTCATTCTACTGAACAGACTCATTGCAAACATATCTGAGGAGAATCTGCCAGAAGCACAGTGTGGTTTCAGACCAGGTCGTAGTACTATGGACATAATCTTTTTTGTAAGGCAGGTCCAGGAAAAATGTCTAGAGCAGAACATGGATCTGTATGCAGTTTTCATAGATTTGACCAAAGCTTTTGATACAGTCAACAGAGAGGGTCTATGGGCTATTCTACACAAACTGGGCTGCCCAAGAGGGTGCATACAAATCATCCGTCTTTTCCATGACCATATGACAGTGCAAGTACTCTCCAGTGGTGACTTTTCCGATGCATTTGAAATCTCAAATGGAGTGAAGCAAGGCTGTGTACTTGCTCCAGTGCTGTTCAATTTGTTCTTTGCTTGTGTTCTCAGCCATGCAACAAGGGACTTGGATCAGGGGATATACATCTGCTACCTACTCGATGGCTCCCTCTTTGATCTTCGAAGACTCAATGCTAAGACCAAGATGCTGGAGAGACTTCTTCTTGAGGTACTTTTTGCAGATGACTGCGCCTTGATGGCTCATAGACATCAGGTCATTGTTGATAGATTTTCTGAAGCAGCCCAGCTCTTTAGCCTCACCATCAGTCTCAGGAAGACAGAAGTCTTGTTCCAGCCAGCACCTCATTCCAATGCCCCGGTGCCAGCCATCTTCATCCATGGCATACAGTTGAAAAATGTGGATCAGTTCAAGTATTTGAGCAGTACCATCTCATGTGTCAGTTCCCTTGATAAGGAAATCTCCTCCAGAATTAGTAAAGCCAGCCAGGCCCTTGGTCGACTTCGAACAAAAGTTCTTAACAAACACAACATCTGTCTCTCCACCAAATTGAAGATCTACAGTGCAGTGGTTCTAACATCTCTCCTGTATGAATCTGAGATGTGGACTCTTTATAGACGTCACATTAAACAGCTTGATCAATTTCACATGCGCTCCCTCCGTTCAATAATGAGCATTTGCTGGCAGGAATATTAAAGTCCTTGAGAGAGCAAACACAACCAGCATTGAGGAAATTTATTGAGAACATAACTTAGGTGGACCAGGCATGTCATCAGAATGGAAGACCACTGTCTCCCAAAACTGATCTTGTTTGGGGAGCTGAGTCAGGGCAAAAGAAAGAAGGGTCGTCCGTATAAGCACTTCAAAGATAATCTGAAGAATCATGACATTATCTCCAGGCTGCATGTGAAAGGCACCATAGAGCTGCATAATCAAACGTCATAGATACAGACTTCCCATGCCCTCAGTGCAGTTGACTCTGTGCATCAGGATTCGGAGTCATATGCGTAGCCATATATGAGAACTACGACAATATCGTCGTCATCACCAGGGATGGACTACCAATAATACTGATTAGATTTGTGGATGATACAAAGATTAGTAGAGTGATTAAAAAATGACAAGGACAGGATAGTCATATGGAGTGAAGTGGCTTGCTAGGTAAACTGGGCCCATTCAAACAAAATGTTATAACAAAGACAAATGGAAGGTCATATCTCTAGAAACAAAGAAAGCAGCCCCTATTACAGAATGGGGGATTGTATCCCGGAAATCAGTGACTCTGAAAAGGATTTAAGGGTCATGGTGGACAAGCAACTGAACATGGGCTCCCAGTGTGATGCTGTGGCAAAAGGGTCTAATGCAATCCTTAGGTGTATAGGGAAGTAGTGAGTAAAAGTGGGGTGGTGATTTTATTTCTGTATACAGTATTGATGAGATCGATACTGGAATGAAATTCTATGGCCTGTTTTATACAAGAGTTCAGATTAAATGATCCAATAGTCGCATTTGGCCTTAAAATCTATGAAAAACATGTCCTAATGCAAAAAGAACGAGGAGTACTTGTGGCACCTTAGAGACTAACACATTTATTTGGGCATAAGCTTTCATGGGCCAAAACCCACTTCATAGGATGCATACAGTGGAAAATACAGTAGGAAGATATATATACACAGAGAACATAAAAAAAATGGGTGTTGCCATACCAACTATAACAAGACTCATCAATTAAGGTGGGCTATTATCATGCATCCGATGAAGTGGGTTTTAGCCCACGAAAGCTTATGCCCAAATAAATGTGTTGGTCTCTAAGGTGCCTGCCACAAGGACTCCTCGTTCTTTTCGCTGATACAGACTAACACGACTACCACTCTGAAACTTGTCCTAATATATTTCCTTATTTTAGGCAATTGGTGATGCAGAGAAGTTGGTGGAGACTCTACGTCTGGCTGCTGAGAAAGCAGAGGAGAAACTGTCCCTGGCCAGGCTCAGGTTGCGAGAACAGACTCAGGAAGGTACGTTTAGGCCTTGGTCATGAACTGCTTGATAGAGTTAGATTGGGGGAAGAGGGAGGTTCTTGATCAGGACCCAGGTGTATCTATAGTTCTTTGAGTCTTTGTTCATATGGATCCTACTCATGGTGCGCACGTGCTCCACGAATCTGAGATTGAAATCTTTTGACCAGGTAGGAAAGTTTCTCTACAATGAGCCACTAGTCAGAACAAAAAGAACCCCAAGATCCTGCCAGCTGGGTACAAGACACTTCATAAACTAACTATATTAATTATTAAGACTAAAACTGTTAGAAAAAATGATGGTAAACGTAGAGACAGTGGACAGATAGTGTTGAGTTCTATCTCACTACTATGGGTGGTTAAGAGGGAACTGAAATGCAGTCAGTGCTGCTCTGCCCTATCTGACCTCAGATGTGTTGCTGGAGAGACCTTGCTTGTGAGCAGCCTCTGGCCCACGAGAGACTTTGTCTGGGGTGGAGGATACAATACAACTTTGTTGTTATGTCTTTTATAGTCCTAAGCATATTTTCAAACCTTGTCACCTACATTTGGTGCTTAAATCTTGTATTTGAGCTCAAATATCCAATGTAGGCCCTTAAATCCCAGTATGAGAACCCAAATAGCAGATTTGATCACAGTCTATAAGTATCTACATGCGGAACAGAAATTACTGGCCTTTATGCAAGAGTTACTGACTGATGTTCCATGGCCTGTATTATACAGAAAGTCAGATTAGATTATTCCAATGTTCTTTTCTGGCTTTATAATCTATGTGTCTATGAAGATTCAAATCTCCAAAGGGCATAAACACCAAGGAGGAAGAAGAAATGTTTAGAGTAGTCCAAGTAGGTATACCTAGGGCAATAGAATGAAATTAAGAAAGGGAGAAGTTAGGTTAATATCTGGGAAATTTTCCTGACTGTGAGTGTTATTAGGCTATGGACTCATCTTCCAAGGGAAGTGGCAGCATGGTAATACAAAAATCAATAATAGTTTCTACTGAAGGGCCTTGCGCCACTTTCCTTGGAAGTACTTAACCATTCAACATTAATGTTCTTGCTGTGTTTTGTGTAGAATAGATAATGCTATTCAGAGCTTTCTCTATCCTTTACTAGGGGTGGGGGATGAATTCCAAGGGCTGAAGTGCTCCGTACAAGAGCTTGATGATGTGCTATTGAAGGATGTGGGAGGCAAAATCCATTCAGATGGACGGTGAGTTAGAAAAGACAATGGTCATACAGATATTGCCCTTGCTGTCATGTTTGTATCCAGCAGAAATGTCTTCACAATAATGCTGCCTCCCTCAACACCACGGAAGAGAGCCTTCGCAAAGGGGCTGACCTAAATGTATTGATACGCCTCTTGCCATTAAGCAGCCCTGATGTAGTGGGCTGTTGGACTAGTACCATTATATCCCATGGTGAAGAAGGCCCTTTTATTGTTGGTATTAATAATTCTATTATTTATTTGTTAAATGCATGAAATCTGCTCAGCTTTGGTACAAGACACAAAATTATTGTATTCCCTGATCACCTTACAACCTAAAGAAAGAGAGAAAAATGGAGAAGAGGGAAACCCAAAGTAGGGATGAGACATATGGAGAGGCTTTATTTTAGACTCACTTCTAGGAATCACATAAGAAGAAGGTTTTTAAGGAGGGATCATCTTCTTGGTGCCACCAGTGTTACCTGGGGTTTCTCAGAACCCAAAGCAAGGGTAACGTAACTGTTTCTCTCCAGGCGGTGTCAGGAATAAATCAATGGGAACACAGCGCTTCCGTCTGATAAATGATTGATACAAGCAAGCGTGCTCTTATCTAAAACTACTATTTATTAGATATTAAGCGCACACACGCAATAGGTTTAAGACATCCCAGATATAGTTACCCACAGTCTGAGATGGTTTCAAGTGACCACCAGCCGGGCTTCCAGGGGCCCTCTTTCTGTCCAGCTGACAGGGAGTTTAGATGTCATATCCTTTCCCAAAGAAAAGTTCCCTTGGATTGCTCAGGGGTATTTATTTTTACCTAATCTTTTATAGCTATCTCTAACAAAGCACATAACCTATCGTGACTCCTAGTGGGTCAGCATCATAATCTCTACTGGGTCACCAATTCTCCTAATTTCAGCAAACTATTTATTACCTCAAAACATTTCTAATATTTCCAGCCATAACAACAATACATCAGGGGCACCTAAAACCAAGGTCGCTTGTCACTCATTTTCTTCCATAACTTTCTGTCCCATCTTCCCATTCTGATTAACAAACTGCAAGTATGCAGCTGTCTGACCTTGTCTCGCAAAGGCCCAAGATTATTCCTAGCTATGTGATGTTTGGCTTTCAACTGGCAGTGGCTGAACATACAAAATTGCTTACTGCAGTACTGTCAGGTTCTGGGCTACACGCAGGAATGTCAAATTCTGGGGTAACACCGGGATCCTACATGGGGGGCTGGAGGAAGTGTCTGGTTGTTGCTAGTTCTCCAGCAGGTGGGGGGAATATTTGCTGGTTGTACTGGGTTTTGGTATTAGGTCTTTCAGCTCTAGTTCAGATGCTTAGTTCCCTGTCTCCACTAATGATGGGTGTCTGTCTCATCTTCACATACAGATGGCCATTAATCATTGATCCATCTGGACAGGCTGCAACTTTCCTGCGGTATCGAGACACAAATTACTTGAATACACTGAACCCAAACGATATGAACATGGAGACCATTCGACTGGCCTTGCTGGGGGCCCTCCGGTAGGTGGCAGAGTACCAGGAATGGGAGGGCAGGATGGCAGGCTTGGACACAGCATAGTTTGGTGTTCCTGATGATCTCAGAGTGTGCATAGTGAGCTGGATGAATAAAACCATTAGTTGGTAGTGCATGTGGCTGTGAGGGAGTGAGTTGCTTTTTGATACCCTCTGCCAACTCTGCACTTCCAGTAGCTGCACTTCCTTCACAGTTAGCACTTCTGGTCTTTATTCGTGAAAAGGACTGCTGGCTGAGTGAGGGGCCTTTTCTCCCAAGTCCCCTTCCCACATTGTGCTAAAGGGAAGGCTGCCCATACATGTAATGCTTGAGACCCATCATTATTAAGAGAGAGAGAGATTGTTTTGTCTATCTTTTGTACCAAGGACCTTGGACTGTAGTACATATGATCAACCATTCAGACCTCTGTCCTTAGGTATGGAAAGCCAGTGGTGTTTGACATGATGGAAGTGAACATGTTTGATGCCATGAAGAGGCAGTTGGAGGGAATAGAGTCTGGACTGGCAGAGGCAATTCTGAGCAAGCAGATACTGCAGAATGAAAGGTAAGAATTTGTGGGTATGGTAAACCCTATGATCTTCAATGGAGAAATGGCACCTCTTCCAACCAAACCCTATTCTCTCCCAGACTGGGGCCAAGGGAATGGCATATTCCTACACCCCATGTCAGCCCTGTCCCCTCCCAGCCTGGGAAGCCAGGGAGAAGGCCGAGTACCTCTACCCCAGACCCCTATTTCCCACCATTCTCAGATACTAATGTTATGAGGGCCAGGGCCAAATAAGTATCTAGCTGTAGATACCTAGGGGTGAGGGACTGGCACCTCCAGCCCTTTGGCCTTCTCCCCTTATAATTCTGGGGAAAGGCCAAAAGATTGCTGGAATATTTATCCTTTTCAAGCCCAGGGATGAGACTGTCACCTCAACCACCCCAACACTGGCCCGTAACAGTCCAGGGTAGGGTTTGAGAAATTCCTGCACCCTAAGTAAAGTTTTCTGCAAATGCCTCTCTTGATGCCCAATCAGGTGTGTGAATGGCACTATTCGATCAAGGCTGCCTTTGACTCTGAAACCTAACAATGACTTTTAAAATGTCAGCTTTGTTAATTGTTTTGTCACTGTACCAGAGACATCCAGTAAATGGGCTATCTCGTAATCATAAGTTCAAACCTCTGCCATGTCTCTTGAGTACCAAAACCACCAGCTTCCCTGTCTGGGTTTCCCGCCCCCCACACTCTGAACTCTGGGGTACAGATGTGGGGACCCGCATGAAAGACCCCCTACGTTTATATTCTACCAGCTTAGGTTAAAAACTTCCCCAAGGGACAAACTCCTTTCCTTGTCCTTGGACGGTATTGCTGCCACCACCAAGTGATTTACATGAAATTTCAGGGAAGGGTCACTTGGAATCCCTATCCCCCCAAAATATCCCCCCAAGCCCTTTCACCCCCTTTCCTGGGGAGGCTTGAGAATAATATACCAACTAATTGTATTAGCAATGCGAGTACAGACCAGACCCTTTGTCTTCAGGACACTGAAAATCAATCAGGTTCTTAAAAGAAGAACCTTATTTAAAAAGAAAAAAGTAAAAGAATCACACCTGCAAAATCAGGATGGAAGGTAACTTTACAGGGTAAATAAAAAGATTTAAAACATAGAGGATTCCGCTCTGGCTCAGCTTCACAGTTACAAAAACTGGAATAAAACTACCTCTGTGGCATAGGAAAATTCACAAGCTAAAACGAAAGATAACCTAACACATTTCCTTGCCTACTTACAATTTCTATGGTTTTAGATGGATTATTCCAGGTATATTTTCAGGAGATGTCGTACCTGCTTGGCTTCTCTCTCTGTCCGGAGAGGGAACAACCAAGAGAGAGCAAACAAAACCTTCCCCCTCCAGTTTTGAAAGTATCTTTTTTCCTCATTGGTCCTTCTAGTCAGGTGCCAACTAGTTTATTTGACCTACTTAACCCCTTACAGGTAAGGCGATTCAGTATAGCTGTCAAGGAGGGATTTTATGCTCCCCTTCTCTCTATATTTATGACATTCCCCTAATAGCTTATAGGATGTATTGTCAATGTTCTGGGTACAGGGAATATCATGGTCCTGATGTGTTGAACGGGCTCTATAAATATGTCAGACAAAAAAGAATGATCAGGGATGGTGAGCTGGTAATGGAAGATGATAGGAAAGCAGAGCTGCTCAATGCCTTCTTTGCTTCAGTCTTCACACACAAAAATAATGTGCCCAGACAACCAACGATGTTATCATAGACAATAAAGGGGAAGGGATGCAGATCAGGATAAGCAAAGAACATGTCAGCGGTCTTCTGACTAGTTTGAATGTATTATATAGTCAGCAGGGCCTGATGGTATTCACCCCAAGATGCTGAAGGAATTAACTGAAGAACTCTTGGAGCTGCTTGCAATAATATTTGCAAATTCTTCTTTGAGTGACGTCCCCTTGGGTGCTCCACTGTAGGTGCAACAGCACCTTTGCATCTGGAGTCAGAGATCTTCCATAGCACTGCCCGTCAGACCTCACATGCACACCTCCCCTCTCTCGCGTTATGCACGTGTCGTATATATAGCGCTGTGCGGTCCGACCACCCTCAGTTTCCTCTCTACCACCTGCAGTCTGGAACAGAACACTTAGCAGAGCCCACATTGTTATTTAGATAGTATCTTACCTGTTTTTCTTCTCATAGTTGTTAGTGCCTTACTTTCCCTTTTCTGTTTCTTCCTCCTAAAACAACAAAAAAGAAGTATTAGTTCGTTCTCCTGTTTTCCCTCCTTCCCCTCAGGGAAGCTACATCCTCATCCTTATGCCTGGTTCACCTGGGTATAAGTGGTGTGTCTCGTGCAAAGCCGCCTTCTCTATAACGGACGGCCACGCAAAGTGTATCTGCTGCCTAGGAGAGGGACACGTTCCTCAGAAGTGTTCCCATTGCCTGGGTTTGAAGCCGAGAGCCAGAAAGAACATGGACCTTAAACTCAAATTTAATTCTAGGGCTGTCAAGTGATTAAAAAAATTAATCACAGTTAATCGTGCTGTTAAACAATAATAGAATACCATTTTTATAAATATTTTTGGATGTTTTCTACATTTTCAAATATATTGATTTCAATTACAACACAGAATACAAAGTGTACAGTGATCACTTTATTTATTATAAATATTTGCACGGTAAAAATAAAATAGTATTTTTCAATTCAATTAATATAAGTTTTGTAGTGCAATCTCTTTATCATTAAAGTTGAACTTAGAAATGTAGAATTATGTACCAAAAATAACTGCATTCAAAAATAAAACGATGTAAAACTTTAGAGCCTACAAGTCCACTCAGTCCTACTTCTTGTTCAGCCAATCGCTCAGACAAACAAGTTTGATTACATTTGCAGGAGATAATGCTGCCCACTTCTTGTTTACAATGTCACCTGAAAGTGACAACAGGCGTTCGCATGGCATTGTTGTAGCTGGCGTTGCAAGATATTTATGTGTCAGATGCGCTAAAGATTCACATGTCCCTTCATGCTTCAACCACCATTCCAGAGGACATGCGACCATGCTGTGGAAGAAACGAACTCAGAGAGCTTTATTCAGGACATGCAAGGGAAGAACACAGCTGACAGAGAGCATCTCTGCCTCAGTTTCTTCAAAGTACAAGCAATATCACACAAGCATTTATACATTTTAGTGGCATGCATTAATTAAAAACATCTGCAGTTTGTTTGTTATGTCCTGCCCATTCCTGTATTTTCTCACTTCTGTTCTCAAAACGTCGCTATCTCAAGGCTGGGTCACACTGACTCTACTCTGCTGTCTTCCCACCCACTTCTGACGTGAGCCCTGCTTCTACAGGTCTCGCAATATTAAGCTAAGACTTAGCATGACAGTTGCTCTGTTTCTTACTACTGAGAGGCCTATATTTAAATCCTTTAACCCTGTTTCCACAATGCTGATGATGGGTTCTGCTTGATAACGATCCAAAGCAGTGCAGACCAATGCATGTTTATTTTCATCATCTGAGTCCAATGTCACCAGCAGAAGGTTGATTTTCTTTTTTGCTCGTTCGGGTTCTGTAGTTTCTGCATCAGAGTGTTGCTCTTTTAAGACTTCTGAAATCATGCTCCACGCCTCGTACCTCTCAGATTTTGGAAGGCACTTCAGATTCTTAAATCTTGGATCGAGTGCTGTAGCTATCTTTAGAAATCTCACACTGTTACCTTCTTTGCGTTTTGTCAAATCTGCAGTGAAAGTGTTCTTAAAACGAACAACATGCTGGGTCATCATCCGAGACTGCTATAACATGGAATATATGGCAGAATGCATGTAAAACACAGAGCAGGAAACATACAATTCTCCCCCAAGGAGTTCAGTCACAAATTTAATTAATGCATTTTTTTTAATGAGCATCATCAGCATGGAAGCATGTCCTCTGGAATGGTGGCCAAAGCATGAAGGGGCATATGAATGTTTAGCATATCTGGCACGTAAATACTTTGCAATGTCGGCTACAAAAGTGCCATGTCAACATCTGTTCTCACTTTCAGGTGACATTGTAAATAAGAAGCGGGCAGCATTATGTCCCGTAAATCTAAACAAACTTGAGTCAACATGAGTCAACAATGCAATGCTGCTGCAAAAAAAAACCAAATGCAATTTTGGGTTGCATTAACAGAGTTATAGCATGCAAGTCACAGGAGGTGATTGTAATGCTCTACTTGGCTCTGGTTAGACCTCAGCTGAAGTACTGTCTCCAGTTTTGGTCACAACTATATAGAAAGGATGTAGAGAAACTGGAAAGGATCCAGAGGTGAGTGACAAAGATGATCAAAGGGATGGAATTCAAGGCATACGAGCAACAGCTAAAGGAACTGGGTTTGTTTAGTTTAGAAAAGAGGAGACTGAGGAGGGATATGATAGCAGTCTTCAAATACTTGAAAGGCTGCTATAAAAAAGACAGGAAAAAAATTGTTCTCTTGGTGCAGAGGGCAGGATAAGAGGCAGTGGGTTCAAACTACAGCATAGCAGATTTAGATTAAACCTCAAGAAAAACTTCCTGTCTGTAGGAACAGTAGAGGTGTTAAACTGGGGGTGTTAAACTGGATCAGAGATTCTCAACCTTTCCAGGCTACTGTACCCCTTTCAGGAGTCTGATATGCCTTACATGCCCCAAATTTCACCTTTCAAAAACTACTTGCTTCTAAAATCAGACATAAACTTACAAAAGTGTGACAGCACACTATTACTGAAAAATTGCTTACTTTCGCATTTTTACCATATAATTATAAAATAAATCAATTGGAATATAAATATTGTACTTACATTTCAGTTTATAGTATATAGAGCAAAATAAACAAGTAATTGTATAAAATTTTAGTTTGTACTGACTTTGCTACTGCTTTTTATCTAGCCTGTTGTAAAACTAGGCAAATATCTAGGTGAGTTGATGTACCCCCTGGAAGACCTCTGAGTATCCCCAGGGGTACATGTACCCCTGGTTGAGAACCACTGGACTAGATGACCCTTGCAGTCCCTTTTA